GCGAGTGATGAATGGCCACCAGGATGAAGAACAGGAACAGGGGCCACAGCAGTTCCTCGAGTAGCTGGATCGGCTGTCTCCTGCGATAAATGTAGTTTTTCCAAAGTAAAAGCGCCAACTGAGGGCAAAAGGCCATGATGACTCTGGACAGGGGACAGAGCGGAGGGGTGGAGACGAAGGTCAGGCGGGGGGCGTGCTGTGCAACGTCGGGGAACGTGCTGTCGTTCTCTGATCCTCATCCTCCCATCCCTGGGCGGGGGGGGGGTTCCTGGCCCCGACCTTCCTAATCAAGGTTAAGGATTTCAGCTCTGTCTTTCCTTTGTTTCTTCTTTCTCTTGGTACAGTCCTTTGCCCAGTGTCCTTTTTTCTTGTGGTAGGCACACTGGTCTGACCCTAGTTGGACACGCCCTCAATCTCCCTTCCTCTCTACTCTGCCCTCGTCTTCCTTTCTTACTACTGTGGCCAGGATTCTGCTTAATTCCTTGTTTCACCTCCTGTCTCTTGCATTCTCCCTATCTTCTGCCTCTCTCCTTTGTCTTTCCTCTCTTTCTTTTTGAGTTTCTCTCTTATTAAATATTCTTTCTGCTTCTCTAAGTAGATCCTGTAAACTCTGCCCCTGTAGATTCTCTATCCGTTGGAGTTTTACCTTAATATCCGGGGCGGATTGCCAAATAAAGGACATAGAGACACTCACCTCTTGTCCTGGGCTGTCTGGATCGAAGGGAGTGAACCTCCGATATGCTTCCTTCAATCTTTCTAGGAACGCTGTAGGCGGCTCATCCTGGCCCTGTACTACAGATCTTACTTTGGCCAAATTAGTGGGGCGTCGCCCCGCTGCACGGAGGCCCGCTATGAGCAACTGGCGATAAAGGCGTAGGTGCTCCCTACCTCCAAGCGTGTTAAAGTCCCAGTTTGGTCTGGTGAGAGGGAAAGCTGCCTCAATCTCGTTAGGCAGCTGAGTAGGTCTCCCATCTTCTCCTGGCACCTGCTTCCGGGCTTCTAGTATCACCCTCTGTCTCTCCTCAGTCGTAAGGAGAACCTGTAAGAGCTGTTGACAGTCATCCCACGTGGGCTGATGGGTGAGGAGAATAGACTCTATGAGGTTGGTGAGGGCAACAGGGTCCTGGGAGAATGGGGGGTTATGTTGCTTCCAATTATAAAGATCAGAAGCAGAGAAAGGCCAATACTGGAGGTGGCCCTCCTGCCCTCCCACTGCTCGCAGGGGGAGTATGTGTGAATCGGCTCCTCGGCGATCTCTCAGTCTCCCTGCAATTGGTGAATTCATTTCTCCATCTTGGCCCGGTGCTGGGTCAGCTGGGGCCTCTGGAGCTGGCGGAGCCTGTGCTTGGGCCCCCTGTCCCTGTGTGGCATAAGGAGGGGGAGATTCTTCAAGAAGGTTGATCAGAGTTGACTCGTCTGGAGGGAGAACAGGTTTTGGTTGTAGGCGAACCGGGCACAGGGAGGAGGAGGAGGGACTAGAGGGTGTGAGGGTAAGGGGAGTTGGGGTTAGGAAGGGGGCCACCCAGGGGGGTGGATTATGGGACAGGCTTTCCCAGGTAACGATGTAGGGAATCTGGTCCGGATGTCCATGGGGTCCGGATCTGAAAACCTGAATTTTGACCTGAGAAATAATGTTAGGATCAAAGGTGCCATCTCGTGGCCAGCCTACATTAAAAGTAGGCCACTCTGATGAACAAAAAGAGATCCACTTATTCTTCTTAACTTCTACCGACTGGTTAGAGGCAC